AACCGCGGCAAAAGCCGCTTGCCAGCTGCACTGTCTGGTGATCTGCGCAGGCACAGATCGCCCAAACCCGGCTCTTCCGGGTTGCCACAGGTGAGTAGATTGCATTATTTGTCAAGCCCTGGCTAAGCATATTGGAGTGCATTATTAATATCATAGAAAATGTTTACAGACACTCTAAATTTTCTTATAGAATGCCTTTAGTAATTCTAAATGTTTCTGTTTGCAACAAATGTAGTGTTTTATGAATTCCTCCATATGGTTTCTATGAAAAAGACAAAATCCAGATCCTTCCTCTGTACACAAGTACACACACATTCTGTCAATGCAAGACATATTTTCAAGCACACAAATTATACTGTGACAGAGGCAGGGTTTCACGTCTATCTTCTTGCCCACAGAAACTTAGCAGATTCCATCAGTTTCCCTTCACCAAACTAGGGATGTAAGCAATTAGTTGAGTAGTTGACTACTCAATAAGAATATGCTTATCGGGTAGTCGACTCACTACTCAACTAGTCACTTCCCCCCCTCTTGCTGCCTCTGCGGCAAGAGGAGCCAGTGCTGCTAGGGCAGGAAGGGGAGGAGGAGCTGGTGCTTGGGGGGGAGGGGAGGAACCAGTTTAAAAGCTCATTCTGCCCCAGCACCATCTTCATGGGAGGACAGGGGAGGCAGAGGCACATCAGGGGACTAGGCGTGAGCTGGTAATCAGCTGTCCCAGCTGACGCCTGGTTCCAGAAGCTGCACCTCTTCACACATTTCAAAGAGAGAGGCACAGCGGGGAACCGAGGGCAAGCAGGGACTGAAGCCCTCTCTTTAGGTTCTAAGGGAAATAGACTTCTCCTTTCTCTAAGGCTATGTCTAGACTGCAAGCCTCTTTCAAAAGAGGCTTTTTCGAAAGATACTTTCAAAAAAGCCTCTTTCGAAAAAGAGCGTCTAGACTGCAAGCGGAACTTTCGAAAAAGCAAGCCACTTTTTCGAAAGAGAGCACCCAGGCAGTCTGGATGCTCTCTTTCGAAAAACTCCTGTTTGCATTCAAGAATGCCTTTTTTCGAAAGAGCACTTTGAAAAAAGGCATTCTTCCTCATGAAATTAGGTTTACCGCCGTCGAAAGAAAAGCCACGTTCTTTCAATTTAATTTCGAAAGACCGCGGCTGCAGTCTAGATGCAGGTGAGGTTTTTTCGAAAAAAGGCCACTTTTTTCGAAAAAAAACCCTGAGTCTGGACACAGCCTAAGATCAGTGTGGGTACATCTACACACCAGTGCCATTTTGGAATAACTGACATTATTCCAAAATAACATATTCCACGTCTACACAGAAAGCCATTATTCTGACAATGTTAAAATAATGTTGAGCTGGAGGACTTCTTACTCTGCCTCCTACAACCCTAATTTTACGAGGAGTAAGGGAAGTTGGAGGAAGAGTGCTCTCTCTCGGACTTCCTGCAGTATATACAGTGCACAATTGACATATCTCAAGTTAAGTACCTTACTTTGGAGTTAGCCCTGCTGTGTAGGTGTGCCCTGACTGAGCTCAACAAGCTCCATTCCTCTCTTTCTCTGGTCTTGATACTTCCTCTCTTTTGGTATATCTACACTAGCCCCCTAGTTCGAACTAGGGAGGCTAATGTAGGCATTTGAAGTTGCAAATGAAGCCCGGGATTTAAATATCCGTGGCTTTATTTGCATCATCCCGCCCAAGCGCCATTTTTAAATCACGCTAGTCCGAACTAACTGCCCATGGCTACACGCGGCAGTCAAACGTTAACTTGAACTAAGTCCTTAGTTCAAGTTAACTGTTACACCTCACGGATGTAACTGTTAAACTTCGAACGCCTACATTATCCTCCGTAGTTCGAAGTAGGGGGCTAGTGTAGACATACCCTATTACTCTTTATCAGACGTGGGCTAAAGGGCTACTTGAATGTTTAACACACCCAGATCACCAGCCTGGTTAAATAATTACTAGGAATGTCAAGCGATTAAAAATTAATCACAATTAATCTCACTGTTAAAAATAGAATATTATTTATTTATTTATTTGTTTGTTTGTTTATTTAAAGAAATTTTGCAAGTGTATATTTCACATGGAATACACAGAAGTCCTCAGGATTTGACAATTTCTGATCTAATTGAAGTAAATAGTAAAACTTCCACAAAAGTATCTTTTATGCTTCACTTTCCAAGTATATTACAAACCATGAATGGCCTAAGTTCCTACCCCATTCATAACAGTTCCCAAATTCTGGCAAACAGAGGCTGGGGATCTCTCCCATCTGGGTTAATAGCCATTGATGTCCCTATCCTACATGATTTTCTCTAGTTTCTTTTTTGAACCCTGTTATAGCCCCGGTCTTCACAACATTTTCTGGCAAGGAGTTCCAGAGGTTGGTTGCTCATTGTGTGCAAAAATCTTCCTTTTTCCCCCTTTAAACATGCTGCCTATTAATTTCATTTAGTGACACCTAGTTCTTGTGTCATGAGAAGGAATAAATAGCATTTCCTTGTCTACTTTCATACTCCAGTTATGATTTTCTAAACCTCAATCATATCCCCCCTCAGTCATTTCTTTTCCAATCAGAAAAGTCCCAGTCTTATTAATCTTGCCTCATACAGAAATCATTATATTCCATATCCCTCATGGCTTTGTTGTCCTTTCCTAACCCTTTTTTAATTCCAATATATCTTTTTATATATAAGTGGGCAACCATACCTGTATGCATTGCAGCTGGGGTGCTGCCGGGTTGGTTTGCGTCTGCTGGTGAGGGGGGGGGCACTAGCTGCACCCCCCCAGCAGACCAGGGAGACGCGGGTGGCGGGACCGCTCGTGTCCTCCACAGCTTTGCTCCGTCTTTGCTCCATGGCTTTGCACCATGCAGACCAGAAAGACGGGGAGCAAAGCCGTGCATCTGGGCGTCCCGCCGCTCCAGTCCTCCGGGGTGAGAAAAGCCCCCTTCGTAACTGCGTATCCGACGTAAGTCGGATCCGCGTAACTCAGGGACTGCCTGTATATTGATTTCCAAAAGAAAATCTGATGAGGTTCCACAAGGACAAGTGCAGTCATGCACTTGGGACAGAAGAACCCTATGCACTGCTACAGGCTGGGAACCAAATGGCTAAGCAGCAGTTCAGTAGAAAAGGACCTGGAGATTACAGTGGATGAGAAGATGGATATGACTCAACAGTGTGCGCTTGTAGCCAAGAAGGGTAACAGCTTATTGAGTTGCATTAGGAGGAGCATTGCCAGCAGATCGACGAAAGTGATTATTCCCCTTTATTCAGCATTGGTGAGGCCACTTCTGAAGTATTGTGCCCAATTCTGGGGCCCCAATTATAGAAAGGATGAGGATTCATTGGAGAAGGTCCAGTGGAGGGCAAATGATTAGAGGGCTGGAGCACATGACTTATGAAGAGAGGCTGAAGGATTGGGGCTTATTCAGTCTTCAGAAGAGAAGAGTGAGGGGGACAGTTAGCAGTCTTCAACTACCTGAAAGGGGCGGGACTTCCAAAAGGACAGAGTGAGGCTGTTCTCAATAGTTACAGATGACAGAACAAATAGTCTTGCTTATACCAGGGGGGTGGATTTGCTCTCTTCCTGAGGTCTCTTACAGGCCTATGATTCTATTTCTGCTGTTCTCATAGTCATACCCCACTGACCAAGCTCAAATAGGACTGCTTATTAGCCTGCTTACCTGGGATAGCTTGGGCACCTCTGTT